GATAAAAAACTGTTTTTATAGGTAGATCATACGTAATTTATCTTATAAAATTATTTAAATACTCGTGATGAAATAATATAAAAATAAAATTAAGGTCATTTAAGTAATTTTATAAGATAAATTACAAATAATTTACTCTCAATACTCTGTAAAACAGTTTTTAAGACAAACTATATGTAATTCATTATGTAAAATTATTTAAATGCTTCTAATGAAATAATATAAAATGAAATTAAAGGTATTTAAATAATTTTATATAATAAATTATATACAATTTACCTTATAAAATAATTTTTTCACTCTAAAATTATATAAAATTCATATGCCGAGAAAACTAAAATTATATAAAATTCATATACCTCTTAATTTTTAAGTAACCTTCTTATATTTTATCTTACTAATGTATCCATATTATTTATATTATTGTATTATTATAATAACTATTTTTCTACTTTTATTGTCGTTAGATATATGCCATAGAAAGTGCAAATTAATAGAAGTTACATAAAACTAACATCTAATCAAGCGTAGGGGAAAAAAACGGTGAGTCAGGCTGTTCATATCTTTCAAGTACGATTGTCAAAGGGCAGTATTTTTGCTTGTAATTTAGCTTCTGACAAATTGAGTTGCCTATATGAACAAACCTATTATAGGTTTTGGGGTAATTATTTTGAAAATTTATAAACAGTAATTAATTATTAATTTTCATTAATTAAATATATTTTATTATAAATATAATTATTAATTATTGATATCAGACACTTATTTCTACTGCATTTTTTCCAAAAGAAAAGGAATTTTCTTTTGGATTGTTTCGTGGACCTCCATTCCCTGTTCCAAATGCAAATAAAAGTTGATTAAGAAACTCCTTGGAAAGATCCTCTCCGGCAGTAAGTCTTGATTAAAACTTATACATAAATTTTGAATTAAGACTAATCTTAATCATATATAAGTCTTACATAAATTTCAATTAAGATTTATACATAAACTTTCAAGATTTATGTATAAATTTTAATCATACATAAATCTTATGTAAGTCTTGATTAAGACTTATATATACATAAATATGAGGGTAGATGTAAATGTGAACTCAGATTGAATTCTTGATTCAAGATTGATGTGTAAGTCTTGATTAAGACTTATACATAAATCTGAGGATAGATGCAAATGTAAATAATTTATTTTTTTATTTTTAATATTTAAAATTTATTATGATTTTTTAAATAAAAAATAATTATTTTTAATAAATATAAATAAACTATTTTTAATTTACCTAATCACCAGACTTAAGAACAAGATCTAAATATTATAAAATTTTGTACTATTTCTTTTTTACGAGAACAATGCTTAAAAGTTAATAAGATTAGAATCGTTAATGGAAAGTATTGAACCTGGACAAACATGACATCCACCAGCGGCCACAAAGAAAAAATCAAGATTTGAAAATTGGGTCTTGTTACAATCTATGCAAGAAAAAGGACGGTCTTGTTATTGTAAGAAAAAGGACGGTCTTATGATAAGGCCTTTGTGTATATGAGAGTCTCTGTTTTCAATTCTCTGCTTATAAATCGACCCAGTTGAGTTCTCACACTCCATTCTCCTTAACCTTTCAGCAAATTCTTCACTACTAGTGCAGGTTCTCCAATGGCAAATTTGACGGTGGTTCTCCCAACAAGAGCTCTTAAACCAGATGGGATTGCCTCGGGCAGGGTCAGTGCCTCCAACCGGCACTTTGTTCATCTTATGCCCAGGATTCCACGAAATCAGAAGTCACGACCGTTTGTGGCTAGGGATATGCAGGGGCGCCGCATTTATCACCTTGAGTACAAGAGGCGGATGGTGGGGCTCCGTCCGAAGCAAACAATTACTGGTTTAAGACGCTTCTTTCGAGAGCATGGTTTGCAACCTGGGGATCGAATTACTTTGTACAAGGAGGAGGGCAATGAGATGATGTTGATGGGACAACTGATCTCTCCATTCTATGTGATCCACTTTGAGAGGGTTAACGAAGTTGCAGCCGGTGAAGATCCCGCTCCGTTGCAGGCTGGTGATGATCATGCTCCTTGAGGATTA